CCCTTCATCATTCTGCCTGGCTCCACAGGACTTCACCCATCAATACTCAGCTGCATTCCACATTGTCTTCTCATTGCAGAAACAAAATAACAGCCCTCTACTGAGATGTACTGTTCTCATGGCAGGAAGTAGAAGCAGAGCCAAACTAAACTAAACAAGAGGCCACACAACAGGCTAATGGTCTCTGCAAACATGGGTGTACATTGCACCCACTCATATTCTGCTGACAATAGCAAATTTCATGGCTAACCGGACAAGGGATAGAGAAGTGTCTTCTGCCTACAGGAAGGCACTAAAAATCACATGACAGAGAAGAAAGCATAGTGTTTAGAATGACAGTCAAATCTACCACATACTGTAGGTGCAGTGGGAACCTCTTAAGTATGAGCATTTAATATTCCAAAGAGACTACTTTGGAGATAGTACGAATTATTAACTATGTAAATCATGACATGGTAAAAACCAAGCCAGTTGTGCACTATCCTATACAGTAGAGCTTCCATAGTTGAGCACTTCATGAAGTTGACCTAATTTTTGCAGACCAGACTCGCATCACATGTATGTATCAGTACAGTAGACCTAGATTCTTATGTTGACCACCTCTGTTATGTTGATCAGTTTGTTACAGTCTTTTGAGTGGTCAACCAACCAAAGTTCTACTGCATTTAAGTGTTCCAAAAATGTGTACAGTCCTTATGGTACAGATTTAGTCTTTTTCTGAATTTACTCCTTTTGTGAAGTGCTATATTTGAGTGTCGACACAGTTTATTGATAAATAGGGTTCCAAAAAGACATGATGTCCATAAATTCGTTCACAAATTTATGAACACCCTACATGTGTACACAATTTAAGATTCTATTAAATTCAATTAATAGAATATATTCAATTTAATTTCTATTAAAATTCTAATAGTCAATATATACTGTTAACTAAACAAGAATACAAGTCACATTTGAGGACCTCTGGTAACTGTAACTGTCAAATGTGAGGTGAATGTTACAATTTTAATACAGTATTTTCTTTTCTTAAATTGTGTGTACATTGCTTGGCATCCTCTGTATACTGCAGAATAATTATTGCTTGGAAATTACATATCTGTAGATGGACCCCACATAATGCTCCTTTCATGAAAAATTTAGCAGCAGTTTAGCACTGATATTTCTGAAAGAGCAAACCAATATTTTAAGAATGGGCTAGTCAGAGGGAAGAGTTACCTGTATGGAGAGTACAGAATGTATTGAGTCGTTCAGTTAAGGGAAATATTAAATAAATCTCTAAGGCACTTAGAAATGAAATATCTGTCTCTTAGCTAATGCCAAAGAGATAAATGCTTTTTCTTTGTTAATCACACTATTGAAATCTTAAAATTTATAATTCCACATTAAATATTAGATTTACCTTTATCTGTCCCAATGTCCTAAATTCATGTGAAAGAGATATTCTAGAATCTACATGTGCTCGCTAGAAATTGGTCTCTCGATCCACACACCTGAACTCAAAGTAGCCAGAAATACAGAAGGAGATGGGAAGGAGATGTCCCGGGGTGATCTGAAATCACTCGTCTTCATTGGTAGCTCTCAGTTCTTTTCCGTTACTGGATGTTATTTTCTCTCTTGACCCACAGGACATACACAAATAGATAAAAATCTAAGGCAGCTGGCTAAAAGGTGGAATATCGTGCTGTTGAGAAGTAAAAGCAAGATGGAGACTGAGGATGTTCTGAGTGAAGAGGGCTGGGATGGTGTGATTACTCTCTTCTGTCCTGCTGGTAGACTGATGGAATGTGAACTCTCTGTATTCTTCCTGTGGTTCTTGCAAATTCTTCACCATGTAATCAGAAGAAGCCACATGCATGAAGAAATGTAGTAAAGCTCTAATTTCCAAAGAAAATCTCCAGTTCATGCTAGCTGGGGTTTTTGAAGATCTTAGGAATCTGAGTCCCTTAATTCAGGTGTATACCTTCATGACATCCTACAACAAATAAGCTCAGTCACCTGAGTTATGTTTTCTCCCCTCTTGCTTTCTGCCTATCATAATTAACACTGTTAAAATCTTCTTCAATCATCGAGATTTTTGTGCATTGAGACTCATTTTAATGTTGGCACAGTGTACAGTCTGTAAGGCATTAAGGTATGTCTGCAAAAAAAATACCACATTGAATCACAGATGGATCTTGCAAACATTAGGATAAACAGGTCTCTTGGCATTTTGAGATTTACCTCACAGTTTATGCACCATCGCATCACCTGCATCCTAAAAGCTTGGTCTTTCAATAGCAAGTCCCATGACCTTAACTTTTTATTTTTAAATCTTTTATTTGACATAAGCAGTACTAATTCTCTCAGGGTACAACATCTTTTGAAAAGGATTTCTGCAATGCACCAAGGAAAGTGGCCAGCTGTTTTCTATAATCTCATACATAGAGGCAATGGGTAAAAACCACAACATGAGGGATTTACCACTTCCTTGTAGCGAAGGTCATTGACACAGAATTGAGTAACCCTCCACCCCTAACTGTCTACTCCAACTTTCTCTGCAACTGTTTAAAATTAAAGGCCATGTTAATTTCTCTTGTCATTTAGAGGATCTGTGCCTAAGGGCACAAGAATAGAAAATTGGCCACTCACGGTCATCTCCAAAACTCAGTGATTTCAATTTTGCAATGTTTAAAAACAAACTCTTTATACATGAAATGAAAAGCCATAGAGTTTGAACCAGTTCTCACCGGGAGAACAGGTAATCTTGGCAGAGATGCAGGGTTTGAATGAGATATTCTTCCAGAAAATTAATCAGAACAGAATACACTGAGTTTTCTTAGCTTTTATGTTTTTTAAAGATGTGGCCACATATTCGCTTTGCAAATCTTCCCTGCTCAGTTTCATTTTGAGCAAGGAATCAAACTGAGTTTTTCCTCCTTGAACCAAAGAGAAGTAAATACATTGCTCAAGAGAGAAGAAAACTCATTTTTAATAGAAAAAGAAATAAGAATAGTATGAATGCAAATTAACTCTACACTTCTGACAGTCCCTATGACTCAACCCTAAATTGTATTTTTTCTTAATATTTTAATAAAAAGTTGTTAACTTCACCCACGCAGAGTAACTTTCCGTTGCATCATGTATTTAGCAGCTGGGTGGTTATAGAGTTATATTCATGTACTAGAACAGATTAAAAATACTTTAAAAAATAAGTAACTCAATATTCAAAGCATATAAAAATGCTAACAAGCATTGATTTGTTATGAATGAAATGAAAGAAAGAAATGGTGATTGGATATTCATTTTTTTATACTAAGATCTATGGATAATGTTCAAAGATCTATGGAAAACATTTACTATATACAAAGTACAGTGCAGAATTCTGCACAAACTATCTTGTAGTTTTGCATGTTCAAGCTTGCATTTGCCACTTTGCAATCACTTGAAAGAAACATGCATCTTCTCCTTACAGCATCTACGTAATGAATGATATGATTCATTTACTACTTCTTGGACATTTCACAATCTCATCTCAGGGATGAGTAGGAAAACTTTCCATTGGCAGCTCTTCTTCCTACATTGAAAATAGCCAGCTATCAACAGAATATATTTTTTCCTGTGATATAATTTGAGCACCTTGAGTTTTAAGTAAATGAGAACTATCGCTTCACACAAATTTTGTATTTTCGGGGGAAAAGTGGAAGAGTTGCTGGAAGATAATTTGGCATTATCACAATGACAAAGGAGCAGTCCTTTACCTTAAAGAAGTACAGACTCAATGAACTACTATTTTAAACTTAAATGTGCAGAAATAGAAAACATTTAATAAAAGTAATGTGTTTGCTGGATGTTCTGTAACACAATACATATTGGGTAGAGATGCAAAGTTAAGCATGCAGAATAAGACTTATGTATGTATTAGTTTGCGGCTGTACCACAAATCCTTTTTTTCTTACTCAGTATTCCATTCTCATCATCTACTTCTAGTGCCCCGAATGCTAATTATTTTTCCAAGGAGGGGAAAAGTATAGACTAATTTAGATTAAAAGAATCAGTCAGAGGGAGGGTAAGATTCAAAGAAATTAGCCTTTTTTTATTTCATTTCAGTCTTTTAGGGCATAATAGAAGGTAAAGTTTTAGCATATTGGAATTGGTTTCAGGGCAACAGAAATTGTCACGTGGCAGACAGAGTAATCAATTATCTGGGGCTGTCCCATTATCTAGCCGTATTCTTACTTCACGTTACTTCATGCAGTATTCCTCCCTGCCAGACAGAAGTTGACCTGGAAAGCCTGCAAGATACTGATGAACAAATATTGTTGGGCTAAGCAGTTTCAAATGAGTTAGCTCATTCTACATTTATGTTCTATACATGCAGCTCGATAGAATCAGAGTGAATTGCCTTATTTTACAGACAAAGAAATCAAACGTCAGCCTGGTTAAGTCGTGTGTAAGCTATAGAGCTAAGATTTGAGTCCAGAAATGCCTGCAAACAAAAAACCATGCTCTTTCCTTTACAGTATCTTTCTCCAGGTAATCAAGGGAAAGTATTGGGGGAAAGGAGCCACACACAGGTGGGCATGTGGCAGTGTGGGGGCATTCATCATTTGAACGAAAGAAAAAGAAGGTAGGCTTGATGGTCGAGTGAGGCTTGGCATAGTACAGTCACTTATAAAAATGTTTTCAAAGTTCTTTGTCCATATTTTAATAAAAAGTCAAAAGTATGTTTTTGAGATAAGTGTCTGTTATAGAACTAAGAAGACTGAAAGAAGAAAAAGTGCTCTGTGAATTGACATGAGGAAAGGCAGTTCTCTTATTGATTCTTCACTCTTGGGAATCTCAATAGCTATCAGATGGAACTGGATGATTGCCAACAAATAAACATTTTCCCCCATCCACGGCTATTAAACGGCCCAAAGCCTCCAAATACAGATTAGTCTGAAATGCACTTCTTGTTCCTCCTGGAGGTGGTTAAAAAATGAGCTTTAGTGATAAGACTTCTTTTTCTCTCTTTGCTTCAGGCTACTAAACAATGCCCAGAATGAAGTTTATTTTAAAAGCTGGTATCAGAAGTTGCTGGCTGCTCTCCAATTCTGTGCAGGAAAAGCCTTGAGTGATGAGTTTTCCAAGGAGAAGAAACTTATCAAAATTCTGGGAGATATTGGACAAAAAGTCAAGTCTGCCAGTGACCACCAAAGACAGGTTTGTTAAAATTAATCTTCAGGTAGTGAAGCTTTTCTTTCTTTTTTTTTAACTTTTGTTTAAATTAATTTTTAATTTTATTCCTTAGAAAGCAAATTCCTTGACTATTTAGTCACTTTTTTCCCCCTTCATCTACTATCTGCAAGTTAATGATCCGTCTATCACTAAGACATGGATGTTTTGATCTAAATAGCCATGTAGCACACAGGAAGAACCGAACAAGAAGAAACCAATTAAAGGCAGTTTGACTGAAAAGGCGTGATGGAGTAAGTCTCTGAAAATGGGGGCACAACTCAGACTCACAGGAGAAGAACACACCCTGTCCAAGGCACAAAATCTAGGTCTAGATTTTCCTAAATTTCCCTAATCAAAGTCACATTTTCAAAGACTTTTTCCCCCACAACAAATAGAATGAGTTAAATGAAAGAAATAAATGGTGATGTGGATATTAACATTTTTTATACTAAGATCTATGGATAATGTTCAAAATATTGTTCTTCCTTCTCACTGATTATAATAAATAGACCTAACTATTCTTTTTCTTGATCTAATGGAAGAACTTTTGCTCTTTTTAATTCTCTGCCATCACCAGCTCTCTCTACGGGACTAGACCATTAAGTAGATTCTCTTAGGTTCCCCATTCTAGCAGGAGAGAGACAGTGGGCATTCATTGTATTAAGACAATTATTCTATAACAATTGTGTACCTCTATAGACCAGGAGTCAAGGATAGAAAGATGACTAAACCATGAATTTTTCATCTTCAAGGTAGCTCATTTTCTTTCCAGTCATGGTGTAAAATGAACAAGAATTTCTAACAAAACAATATTAAAAATACCAATAGGCAAAGTGTGCCAGATTTCTTTCTCAGCTCTGGATTTTCTGTGATAGATGTTACTTCATTTAATAGAGATGCCAGAAGCTAGGCTATGTCACCAAACTAAGAATGAATGGAAAATAAAAATAAGTATACATTTTATTTTTAAATGGAAGATATATAAACTCCGGATGGATCCTTAAGGCATATAACATGGTGGACGATACAAAAAATATTCTAAAATTTCTCCATATTACTTCAAGCTCATTCATTATTTTTTTCTTTTTTTCTTGAGACAGTCTCACTCCTGTTACCCAGGCTATAGTGCCATGGTGTCAGCCTAGTTCACAGCAAACTCAAACTCCTAGGTTCAAGGAATCTTCCTACCTCAGTCTTCTGAGTAGCTGGGATTATAGGCACCTAGCTATTAAATATTTTTTTCTGTTTTTAGTAGAAACAGGGGTCTCAGTCTTGCGCAGCCTGGTCTGAACTCCTAAATTCAAGCTATCCTCCCGCCTTGGCTTCCCACAGTGCTAGGATTACAGGTGTAAGCCACCACACCTGGCTCCATTCATTACTTTCTAATAGTAGACAAAAAAGTTAATAGCAAGTAAAATAAATTGATTTAAAATTTACAGAGGTTCTGTATTTATCTCTTATGTTTCAAAATCTTTTATATATTTAAGAGGCACACTGTGGTTAAATTGATTTTTGTGCCTTCTTTTTTTTTTAATAATTTGCATCAAGTTCCAGAGTGATATTAACTTTTTTCACTAAAGTACATATACTTGTCTTGTCTGGACTGGACACTTTTGTGGTAACACTTCTTCACATTAAAAAAGGTTGATAAAAGGTTAGAGGTAGGAGAGGCAGTCATAATTTCTCACAATTAAAAAAATAATGATAGAGGCTGGATGCAGTGGCTCACACCTGTAATCTTAGCACTCTGGGAGGCTGAGGCGGGTGGATTGCTTGAGCTCACAAGTTAAAGACCAGCCTGAGCAAGAGTGAGACCCTCATCTCTACTAAAAAATAGAAAAACTGAGGCAAGAGGATCACTTGAGCCCAGGAGTTGGAGGTTGCTATGAGCTATGATGATGCCATGGCACTCTATTTGGGGCGACAGCTTGAGACTCTGTCTCAAAAAAAGTGATAATATCTCACAATTTACATTACAGACAGCTATTTTCTTCCTGCTTAAAAAAAGAACTTATTAAACTGAACTATCCAAAATGAAGAGGTTTTAGTTAAACAAAAGAAATAAAGATCTCCCTGCTTCATGATATTCAGCAGGCAAACCCAAGTTTCAATAAGGCAAAGGAGGGCAGCCACAGGAAAAGCACTAGGATGGAATTCCACCTCACTTTGACCTTGCTCTTCTGGACTCTGGGAACCATGGATTCATTTACCAATGAGCCAGCAGTAAGAGCTAAGAAACTCTTGCGACCTAATTAAACATTACTAATATGATATCCTCATCTTCAACATCGTGCTTCCAAATCTTTCAAAATCAGGCTAAAAAGGTTTTATTATTTGGTAACTGTGATTGCTGCTGAAGTGTTTTTGTCAGAGAATGCACAATTCTAAAGGTGTTCTTTGTGGTATTCTGGCATGTGGAAGGGAGTAAATATCAGAAATATACTCAATGATATCTAGAAAACTATTTGTTCATATATATTATTGTTTCTGACAGCATTATGCAATTGCTGGTTTTTGTCATGATTGTTACTAATGTAGATGAATATTATATAACTTACATGTCACATAATATAACATATTAAAATTAATAATTGTAAGTACAGTGGTATATAATATATAAATTGTAAGTATTATATAATATAGTCATATATATAATTATATAACTATATGATTTACATTAATACTGCTAAATGTAAATCTTAAGAGTTATAAACTAAGCTTTTGGAAAATTATCAGAAAAGGATCCTATTAGTAATTACTTAAAGCTGGGTGCAGTGGCTCAAGCCTGTAATCCCAGCACTCTGGGACACCAAGGTGGATGGATTGCATGAGCTTACAAGTTCTAGACCAGGCCAAGCAAGAGCCAAACCCTATCTCTATAAGGAGCAGGCATTCTGGCAGGTGCAGATGGTCCCAGCTACTTGGGAGGCTGAGGCAAGAGGATCAGGATCTCTTGACCCAAGGAGTGTGAAGTTGCTGTGAGCTATGATGCCCTAGCACTCTACTGAGGGCAACAAAGTAAGACTGTCTTTAAAAAAAAAAATTACTTAGCTCACAGTTACGAATTGGTGGGACATAAGTCAAGTTCAACTCACTGTTTTATTTGGTTTTTGTTTTTAGTTGAATGTGAGATCCTTTCAAAGGATGCACATCCTGTTTAGTCCCCTGCTTCCCCAACACTCCCAATCATCTTTAGCCTCCTGCCTCCTCACACATGACTATATCACCTGCCTGACCTGAAGTCATCAAGCATAAAACTCCTGAATTAAAGAGTTTATTTAATCAGGAGAAGTAAATGATAACTAGAAGGAAAAGTCCAGTTCTTTATATTTTCTTACACGCTTTTTCTAATGATTTTTCACAGGAGGTGTTGAAGAAAGAGATTGACAGACTAGAAGAATTCTTCCAAGATGGAAATACTTGTCACCTTCCTCTGAACCCTGCCCTGTGTGTAAAGGGGATTGATCATGATGTAAGTCAACTTGCTCAGTGGATAAATTGAGTATGTATGTTTGTGATGTTTAGTTCGTGGTATATTTTTGAATAGCAAAAAGAATTCATAAACTGATCTTGAAATTATTATACAGAAAAAGTAATTGAACCTCATCCATGGTAAATTCTCCCTTTGATGCACTATGACCAGTTGGGATCACATTGTCCTTATCATATAGTTTTCATTTGGAAACAAACTATGTACCAGTTCAGTGGGTAAAAAAGAATTATAAAGTTACTTACCAGTGGAATGATTTCTGGACTTACTCAGAATGATTGATTTGGTGACCCCACGCAAGCTGGGTATAATTTCATGCTTTATTTAGATTATGTGCATAACCATGCCTGGTACACGAATATTAATCATTAGCTACAACTGCCTCATTTTGATTCAATTTAAAATTAATTTGATGCTGATATGTCAGTGTGTGGTACAATATATCTTGTGATTCTGCTCAGGCCTGGAAGGCCCCTCCTGGCATTGTCAGACTCACAACTTCCTAAGCCTTTCTACCTAATTTTCTGTCACATGGTCCCTCCTCACTCACTTCTCTGACTTAAAATAATTCTTTCTCCTCCTTTTCAAAAGCCCAAGAGTAGAAATATACCATAGAGAAAATGATTGATAAGCAAGTTTTAAAAATTAAGCTACCATTCATGCATAATAAGTGTTATTTAACCAAAGTTATAAGACAGTAAAAAAAACCTCAATAATTATGAGAAAAAATAGGCATTATTACATATGAATATAAAATGCTTTGCTAAAATATTGATACTATTATCTTTTTCAATTGCCTTGAAAAATCAAGACAACCTGCAAAGTTTCCTGATATGCCTTATAAACATATTCTGAAAAATAACAAAATAGTACATCAAATTCCGTAAACTAAGATATATCTATCTGAGGTTAAATCCAAATCACTGATTTTCAAAAAATGATACGACCTTTTAATCCTTAACAGAAGTCACTGACTAATACTGAACTTATATAGTAACTCAACATTTCAAAGACAGAGTTAATATCTTCAAGTAGAAAGAACAAGGATCATTGAGTCCAGGTATTGGGTTTTTATTTTTATTTTCTCGGTTTGCTATTTTTAAGACATAGAGTGATTTTTTTTTTTGCCATTAGACTACATATGAGGTTGTCGTGTGAGGCTCTGGGGGTGCATAGATGAGCCAGCTGGGCCAGGGGACAGCTGCCCAGAAGTCACCACCCTTAGGTGGCTACATCTAGGACCACAGTCCTTCCCTAGAGTCCCCTGTGGCCCACAGCTCTTTCCCTGGGGTAGCTGCCCCAAGGAGACCCTCTTCCTTCCTAGATCATTTTCTCTAATCAAAAGTGGTGTCCAGCACTAGGCTGGGCACCTACCAGTACAATAATGAACAAGACAGACAGATAGGTCCAGGCAACACTGTCTTGGGGAACATTTTAATCTGTCTTCCAGTCCTGCTGAACAACAAGATGAGAAACCATACTGTTGAAATGAGTGTGGGAAAGCCCTCTGTTCCAGTAGAACTCTGATCAATTATCAGAATATACGCTGGGGAGAAGACGGATGAGTGTAATCATGGCAAGGCCTTCAGTTAAAGTAAATGTCTTGTATGACATCAGAGCTTCCAGACTGGAAAGAATTTAAAAAGCATATAAATGTGGCTGTTTAGGAAAACCCAATCAGAACTCTTAATTTGTTGACTACAAGCAATCCATACCAGACAGAGAAAAACATTTTGAATGCAGGCAGCAAGGCATTGAGTCTGAATAAATGTCTTACTCAAAGCCAGAGACTTCATGCCAAATCCCCTATAAATGTGATAAGTATTGGAAATCTGCAATCAAAACTGACACTTCATTATACAGCGGAGAATTCACACAGGTGAGAAACTCTAGGACTATAATGAGTATAGGAAAATTGTCAGTTATAGTTCTAGGCTTATTGTACATCAGAGAACCTATTCTGGGGAAAAACTTTTTTTTATTAATTTTATTTATTTATTCTTTTTTGTTGTTGTTGTTGAGACAAAGTTTCACTCAGGTGCCCTGGGAAGAGTACTGTGGCATCATAGCTCACAGCAACCTCAAACTCCAGGACTCAAGCAATCCTCTTGTCTCAGCCTCCCCAGTACCTAGGACTACAGATGCCCACCATAATGTCCAGTTAGTTTTTTTTTTTATTTTTTAGCAGAAACAGAGTCTCATTTTGCTCAGGCTGATCTTGAACCACTGAGCTCAGGCCATCTGCCCACATCAGACTCCCAGAGTGTTAGGATTATAGGCATGAGCCACCGCACTGGGCTGGGAGAAACCTTATAAATGAAACAATTGTGGGAAAGTCATCGCATGGTTGTAAGTTATCACAGTACACACCTTATAATGCACCAGAGAGTTGACACTGGAGAGAAGCCCCAGGAATGGAGGTAGTTTGGGAAAGCTTTCTATTAGTGATCTATCACCATCAGTCAGCGTCACTGGGCAGAAGCACTCAGGATTGGTCAACCCATTTCTTTTTTGTTTTTTATTGTTTTGGATTCATTGAGGGTACAAAAAATTGGGTTACACTGATTTCATTTGTTAGGTAAAGTCCCTCTTCTAATTTTATCCTGCCCCCAATAAGTATGCAGTTCACCATGATCCTCCATCCCCCTCCTTCCTGTCCTCTCCCTACTTGCTCATTCCTCTACCCCTCACCTTGTAGTAGATTATCTACTGCCTTCATACTAGAATTGAGTACATTGGATTCTTACTTCTTCTCCATTCTTGTGTTGCTTTACTAGGAAGAATGTGTTACAGCTCAGTCCAGGCTAATACGAAAGATATAAAGTCTCCATCTTTTTAATGGCTTTATAGTATTCCATAGTATACATATACCACAGCTTGTGAATCCATTGTTGGGTTGGTGGGCATTTAAGTTGTTTCCACATTTTGGCGATTGTAACTTGAGCTGCAGTAAACAGACTAGTGCAAATGTCCTTATGATAAAATGATTTCTTTTCTTCTGGGTAAATGCCTAGTAATGGGATTGCAGGATCAAATGGGAGGTCTAATTTGAGTTCTTTGAGGATCAACCCATTTCTTAAAGCATGATGCTTGAAGTCAGAGAACACAGGTCTTAGGTGAGGATTAATCTTTCTGTATAAGAACAAGTCCCAACCATATCCCAACCACTGATCACAATGATCATTCTTTATTTCCCATTTGAGTCACTAAGGGATGGGCCAGATGGGATAGCCATGATAATTTAACACAATTTTCTCCACTACTGGGAGAATGAGGACCAGATATTTCATTTGCTTATAGGTTTCTTTTTAAACTACAGAATTTTTAGATTTATGTAACTAACGTGTGCTTTCTCAAGGACAGAGGTCAAAATCTTCCTTTCAGTATTAAAGTTTATCATCTTTTCTCCTTCCAGCTTTTCTATCTCACCAATTACATAAAATCATTCTCCAAGCCTCTGATTAATTCTCCCTCTCTCTAGGCTAAGGCCATCCCTCTCTACTTTATAACTCTACTCTCATGCAGTCTCTAATTGTTTGCCTTTCCCTACCTAGGAAATACTTTTCTCTGCCTATTCACCAATCTATGTTTTTCCTCATCTTTAAGATCCCAGTGCATCTTTGAAATATTTTGTTCTTCAAATGTGTCTTTATTCTACAGTGACAGATGTTTGTGAATAATTTTTAACTTAATGTCTACGTATATACTTTCAATCAACTTTTTGAGAGTATATATGGCGTTTCTTTTTGTTAGCATACAGATAACCATTTGCGCAGCCTTGTTGCACATATGATACTTTTGGTATGACTCAGAAATAGACTTCTTGTGAAAACCAAGTTATGAAATGATAAAAGTAGAATATTGTTAGGTGGTAAAGTTCAGAGGCGAAGCCTTGACTTCACTCTCCCTAAACTTAGGATGTCTCAAAGAAACCCCCAGAATTTGAAAATTAATGACCTACACTCAGCATTTCTTGCCTAATACAGAGTTTGCTAATTCTACACTATGATGGAAAGTTGTATGATCCCTGATTAATTGATTCTTTTAGCAAAATTTGATTGATTAACAAGCAACCTCAGCTATAAAACTATAAAACTCCATTTGATTGAGTAACCAACACTTTGTATGTAGTCAGGGATTTAGGGATAGGTCAGTTAAGAAACGGGTCCTTTCCTCTGAGCTTCAGCTGATTCCAGACTTGTCAGAGATAACAGCACTCAAACTGATCCATCCTCACGCATCGATGTCATATTCACCAGCCTGATAAATTGAAAGCCGCAAGTCCTTTTCTTTTCTTTGCCTTTGATTTCACTCTTCACTGTCAACATGAACTCTTTAACAGCCTAAAAGCATACGACCTTTCAATACTTGATATAAGAAAAAAGAAACTAAGCAACAAGGAAAGCAGAGTGGAAAGTAGTTAGTATCCCAAAGCCGAAGGTAGAAATGCAAAGTGTAATCCAGAGAAATGAGAAGATCAAAGTTATATGCTGTACTGTTATGTATGAAGACAAGAGGTGCATTACCCAAAAGAGAAAGAAAAATAGGTTAATTTTTCAAAGCTCATTAGTATCAGGCACTGTGAAAACTATTTTATATCCATTAGCTAATATATCTATTATAAAAAATGAATGAAGTAAAGCTGTCACCCCCACTTTACAGTAGGAGACAGACCTGTGCTATAACTTGTCCATGGTCTCATAGCTTTGACAGTACACTGCCCAGATTTGAACTTAAGTACTTACTCTCAAAGTGCACACATGCTACAAGGCAGAAATAATTGAAAGGAAATAACAATTTTTAAATAGCTATTATTTTAATTTGTAACTATTAAAAGCTGTTATTTTAACTTTTATCTATTAAAAGCAATTATCTTAACTTTTATCTATTAATCAACGAGCATGAACGCAATACCCACACACTGCTTAATTTATTTAAACCTTGAACATATCACTATCATTCAGTGAGGGGATAAAAAGGGATTGAAGATTTACAATCTGCCAAAAAGCTGGCTTCTCAGTTTCAAAGTAAAGGCTTTGGTTGACAGAACAAATTTTCTCTTAAATAAATATGCTTCTTTGTTCCAAAGAGTAAAAATTATTCATATGTGTTATGTTTGCTTAGAAAGCAGGTTCTGCAAGGGGCTATGATTTCAGAAAAGGTCCTTTCTGCTGTACTGGGCTCACTCTTTTCTCGTTCTCTAGGCATGCTCGTATTTTACATCTAATGCTTTGCCATTGAAGATCACGTTCATCAATGCTAATCCAGTGGGCAGAAACATCAGCATTATTTTTAAGGTACAAGTAGCCCTTCTAAAACACCAAATTGAGTCTATAGACAGAACTATTGATTTATTATGCACAAAAAGAAATTATCGTTTTCCTTTGGCAACAGCACAGAGATTTTCCAGTTATTTCGGATTCTGCCTCTGTGCAGAATTCATGTGCATGCCAAATTATGATTGGCAATAAATCAAACATTTCTGGCCCAGATCCAAGGAACCATCAGTGCAAAACTTAAGAGAATATGTTTCGTAAATATGTATATGTATAAGTATATGTATATGTATAAGTATACGATCACTTTTAAATAGAAAGTAGAAAGTGTGGTGAGGCCCCTAGAAGGAGAGTTTCTTTTTGGTTTGGATACTGAATTAGGATAAAATTAACTGAAACGCAAGGGATGTCAGTTAATGTAACATCAAATTCTTACCTACAAGCACTTACAAGATTTAGTAATTTGTGTTATTTTCTTCTTTTAAGTAAAAAGTATGAGCCATATCAGTGTTCATCATGAATCCCATGAGAAAAAATAGAGTCAAAGGTAATACAGGGTTAGAGAGAGCTAGGAAAGAAAGACCAAAGAGAAAGCCATCAGTAAAAAGTAAGAATTTCCCAATTATTCAGTTATTAATAATTTAACCAGTTCTCTAGCCCACACAACAAGGTCTAAGAGTAAATTTTTGGTGGGTTCCACCTTTTGGGGAGATGATTACCATGCCCGTAATTTGCCTGTGTAACCTGAAGAATTATTAGTCCCATGACACAAAATCTGATCTTGGCAGAACTTTCTGTGCATAATTGCATTTCCAAAATGAACTGCTTGTTTAGTTAAAATCATACAATTAACTTTCTCTTTGGATACATTCCATTTCCTTCACCTATACTAGAAAATTATTCCTTTGCCATTTCTTATTATTATTAAAAATGGTTTTCTCTGGGAAAAAAAAAAAAAAAAACTTCAACTGCCTTCCTGAGATACCACTGATTTAAAGCCTGATGACGGATACGTACACTATTTATGCTCATGGTCAAGAAGTTAGTTCTTGGTAGTCTAACTGCACATCAGTGCACAAATTTATGACATACCAAATAAGGTTCCACTTAGCAGGAGGGTGAGTTTGAAATTTGGATAAACATTCACCTAGCCTCCCTTCACCAGACTCTGAATTTAAGAAATTGCACACGGATAATAAAGTAAAAATGATCATCAGGGAACAACAAATATGCCAAGCAGAGCTGCTAATTTGATGATGGCAGCATCTGTAATCATTTAAAGGAAAGTTATCATTTTTATTTTCTTTTCTATCAAAAACACCAGGTAATTTTCGTGCTAATCAAACAATTGAAACCACTCTAAGTCAGGCTAGAAATGTATCCAAGAAAAAAAAATAACATGTACTGTATTTGAATGTTTTTGATGGAATTCAAGGAGAAACTCATAGTCTATAATTTTGTTTTTAATAGGCCGGAGATGATCTTCGACAGGATATGCTTGTTCTGCAGATTATTCAAGTGATGGACAACATTTGGCTGCAGGAGGGCCTGGACATGCAAATGATCATTTATAGATGTCTCTCCACAGGAAAAGACCAAGGTCAGTAGAGATTAGAAAGTGGAGTGGCTTCCATCATTTATCTCACACATCCACTGGCCCTTTGCCACAGAACTTTCACTTTGGATTACAAATTGGAGAATCCAAAGAGCTATAAACATCTGTAATTTTCAGAAATAATTATTTTCAAAAATGATAAGCCAACCTAATTTGTCTAAAACATTATATATTTGTAGGTATTAAGGAGGACTTTCACCATCAAAATGTTAACTGTAATATTTTTAGTGTATCTTAAGAGTTAGTCACATGAGTCACTTAGTCATTTTTTCTCATTTTCTAAGCTAATAATAGAAAATCCTACTCACTAAAAAGAAAAAATACAGTAGCTGCCTATTAACACGAAATTTATACATTTTCAAGTGCTTCAGGGAATTCTGAAAATTCTACACACATTATAAATCTCCATTTAACTTCTGCAAGACTTTTGGGTTAGTATAATATCAACAGACAAAGAGGGCCACACATGGCAGTGTTGAACATACGTCAGGATTTCTTTTATTTTATAAAAGCCAAGCCATTAATAGGGATATATAATTACACTTAGACCCATTTTCAATTAAAACAATATTGATAGTCCCCCAAATTATTACTAAAACAGACATCAAAGTTGCACTTAATTACAATAATGCTAAATTAAAAGAACAAGTCCTAAAAAATATTTTAAAGTCTTGTCCATGTCTGTTCATTAGCCCTTAGAATTTTATTGTGTTAATTGGTGTGAATGATAGCAGACACGTGTACAGTAACAAAGGGATGAAATCATACAATTTGAAAAGAGACGAAATCATACAATTTGAAAAGAGACCTACACCACGTGTTCAATTTTTCTGTTTTTAATTCAAACAGAGTTCAGTTTGAACCTATCATCACAAAGGAACTGAGTTCCTGAGGTCCCACCGGCAGGCTCAATCCTCCAGCCAATTGTGACTTCTGATTTCAGATGCTCTGCATGGGAGCACCTTCCGTTAACTTAACTTGCAACTTGATGCTGCAGGACGACTCCATAACAAGTTATAGTATTTTGATTCTGATGCCAAGTATTCCAACCTGAACACTTTCTAAACCTATAGTTCCTATAAGTCTGTTACCATCTCTACCACGATATAATTATTTCTCGCATTTTACCTTCCCTTTTCTCACATAAGTGACCTAATTTTTTCATATCCTAATATGTTGAAAAGGTAAGAGTAGGGCTACATGACTCAAGCTGAACTTTTTACACTACATAGATCACCTTCTCTTCAGAAACTGAATACATCACTGACTCCATTTACTAACTTCTATCCTCATAGAGTGTAATGGAAGTTAAATCTTACAAAGTTAACAAAAATGAGTCAGCAAAAATGACTGTACTCTTGTCCCAAGTTGCAGATGTCATAAGACAAAGAAGTTATTTCTCTCTCCCAACCATCCTCTGCGGTTAGAGGTTTTCAGAGGGCATTGGACTGACAAAACACTTCAAGAAAAATAGAGATCATTAAAACAATGTCATTTTTAGAAGATTAGGTTGCATTTTTAATCAGGTTTCAAGGCTTAGTGAATACCTACTGTTCCTAAGAAATGTCACCAAGTGAGATGGAGTGTGCATACTAAAATGAGCTCAACGGAGCCGTCCTTGAGGACAGCGCGCTGCAGTCATGAAGTGTACACGGCCATATCAACATCATTGCCGATTGTCATTCTCGTGCCTACTTTGTATGTGATGTCCTAGGAGTTCTCGGAGAAACTCTCAGGGCAAATAAAAATTCTTTAGGATGTATTTTAGCACTGATCCTCTGACTTTGATCAGCATAAAAATTATTTAGGGGAATTGGAGGAGTAGATAACACCAGCCCCAACCCACATGGGGAAGGCTCAAATAACCATTATGGGGAAAAGTTGCTTTAGTATTTCTTATGTAGTCCTGTCTGAAATCCACTGCCTTCCATGATACCACCTTGAAATATTTTATCCCTAAGATCTGTACTACTTAAAGTGTGAATGGTAAACCTACAACATTGACATCACCCGGGGACTTGTTAGAAATGCAGACTCTGGGGCGGTGCCTGTGGCTCAAAAGGGTAGGGCGCTGGTCCCATATGCTGGAGGTGGCGGGTTCAAACCCAGCCCTAGCCAAAAACTGCAAAAAAAAAAAAAAAGAAAAGAAATGCAGACTCTCAGGCCCCACCCAGCCCTGTTAAATCAGAACCTCTATTTTAACAAGATCCCTGAACAATGTGCCTGTACCTTAAAATTTAAGAAATGCTGCATTAAGGAACTGTAAGAACGCACCATGCTTATTACTTAATGTGCACAGGATTATGTGAGAAGGATTGGAAAGGCGTATGGCAGACACTAGCTTAATATGTATGAAATGCGATTTATAATTTTAATAGGCAGAATTTAGCTGCCGTGATTGTTATAAATTAGGTGCAAGGTATTCTGCATAGTTCAGCAATCCAAAGCTTGTGACCAGTGACTTGGGATTTTGCAAGCGTGAACTCCCTGAAGACAAATGCAGTCTGAAATGTAACTAATCGTGTGGCAGCACCGCGTAGTCCCAGGTAGGGTGACACTGAAACACCCAGGAACCAGGCTGACCGTTATTTTCCTTTCAGAAATGTTAAAATAGAGGAGCTGGAAAAACGAAGAGGGAAATTTTCAGGATTATAAAGAAGGATCACCTGCTGACACAAAATGTAATGTTCGAGACCTGCTGTCTTGCTTAATCCACATGAGGAAACCTGGACAAGAGCCAGATAGTTTGGGGGAAGGAGAAAAAAATATTAAAAAAAATATGTTATGATATTCCCAGCACTTGTCTTAGGGGTGCTAAGAGTCTTCCAGAAGGAAGGCAGATGCTCAATGACCACAACTGGACTATCGGGTATTAAGAGAGATTAAGGCTGTAAACTAGCTCCCACTGGCCAAGTTCAGCACAGAGAAGTGTTTTGCTTGTCACCACCACGATCTGCTTATTTGTTGTGGTCTAATTAGGATGCTTTTAAGGTGAAAGTGAAATAGTCTATTTTAAAAGCTCAGCCAGCTCTCTATTCACATGTTTGTGTTACACTTGTGTCTCTAGTCCGTGCTCCTTTAGTTTGTAATTCTTGCAGTTGTTGAGATTGCAAAACTCAGAAACTCTAGATTTTAATTTTCTTTTAATGATTTAATTTACAGTACTGTACTTTACACGTTGTTTTGTGGATATTAGTCCTGAGAGAGGTTAAGTATTAGATTTAAATCCCTGTTCTATATAGAATAACAATCAGAAGGCACGAAATTATTTACATTCCAATAACCTCAGGAGTTCAATGAAAACAGCCTTGATGGATATATAGCCAGTGGACCCAAGATCCTATTTAATTTCTCTCTTTCTTTCTTTTTTTTAAAGATAGAGTCTCAACTCTATCACCCTCGGTAGAGTGCTATGGCATCACAGCTCACAGCAACCTCCAATTCCTTGGCTTAGGCCATTCTCTTGCCTCAGCCTCCCTAGTAGCTGGGACTACAGGCACCTGCCACAACACCTGGCTATTTTTGTTGTTGCATTTTAGACAGGGCCCTGTTCAAATACCACCCTTGGCATATGGGGCCAGCGCCCTACCCATTGAGACACAGGCACTGCCCCCGGTCCTATTTAATTTCAATCAATATATGTTCCTTTCAAAAAAATTGACATTATAGTTTCTTTTTAAAGTTGACTGAGAAGGAAGGAGCAGGTGGCTTTCTGCATGTTTACTTGTAAAGCTATTCTCACTCCCAGAAATGTAACATTTAACTGTGAAGCTTTCGTTAACCTGAACATCAATTTTTGTGATATGTATAAATGGCTTGTTATAGAAATTGTCTTTGGCTCGCTTAAATCACAAATATGTTTGTTATCCAAGCTTGAATGTCCTCCCTTAAACTGTAAATGAGTGTACTAGATTTATGACAAATCACCAAAACTCCACTGACAACTGTGGAGTGACCACCCAAGTTGGCTCTACCATAGGTCAAGAAAAAACATTAAGGCTGCTTCTGGTAAGACTTATCCAAACACAACAAGTAGCTTCATTACCCCCCAGGATTTAGGAAGAATTAGAAGGGGAACCATCTAGAAAAGCCTTCTTTGGAAAAGGAAGTTTTGAAAAGAAAGAGGTAATTCAAGTAGTGCTGATAAGTATTGTTACCTATGACAAGATGTATTTTCTACAGATTCCTCATCCAATAAAAAAAAAAAGGAATTGTTTCCATATTTTTTTTTTTTTTTTCAATCAACCAGGCTTGGTGCAGATGGTGCCTGATGCTGTAACCCTAGCAAAGATCCATCGCCATTCTGGACTGATAGGACCTCTGAAAGAAAATACAATCAAAAAGTGGTTCAGTCAGCACAACCACTTAAAGGCAGATTATGAAAAGGTTAGTCTTGCTGGACATCATTGTAAATGATGTACTTAGATAAGAATATGCTCCGGTTCATTAGATATTCTGATTCATGGAAAAGTAAATTAAGTACAGCTTGAGTTCTAATTCACTCCATCGTCAGCCTAGTATTAATGACCCAGTTTAAATGATATATTAACTAGATAAAAGTCTCTGTGTTTGGTTTTGCTTCTGGGTGAAACTCCTGGCGGTCAGTAAAGACTCTCTTTGCTTAGCTATCTCCCTGACAGCAAACCTCACTCTAGAAAAGATGCCTCCCCCAGACACTACACCTTCAAGTAACCTCCGCCCATGTGTGCACAATCTCCAATTTCTATAAATATCCCTTCTTCTTTTGTGATACATTTCTTCTGCTGTGCTCTATTTTTTTCATCTCTTATTCTCTTAATGGTTTGCAGAATGCAGAGTAAGTTGTTATAAATTAAATTTTAATACTCAAGTCACATTTGACTATACAAGATACTCAGTGCAACTTGTATTCATCTTTTGTTCTTGGTATATATTATTACAATTTTAAAAGTTTTTTCCTTTATTAAAAAGTGTATACATTTTTGACACCCTCTCTATAACAATTTTATAAAAATGTACGCTTTATTTAACAGCAAACATTTTTGTCTCCCAGTGTACTTTATCCTGGCATCAGGCCTGCTGTATACAATAGTGCAGGTTCTGCCCTATACCAGGGCCCTTGGCTCAGGGGATGAGTGTGGGCAGAGCCCGACCTTGTTCCATTTACCAAGCCATACACTGGTACAGCTGGCTCCACCCAGTGGCAGAGGCAGCTGCATGTTAATTTACACAAAAGTGCAATATGGGCTGACACTGGATTTGGTTGGAACTGTGCTAAGCACTGAAATTCCCTTATTCTGAGTCCTGGGCAAACTGGGATGATGGGTCACTTTAGCTAGCATGGGCCAAGAAAGGAGACCCACTCGTTCATCTATGCTATACTTCCATAGGATTGGAGTGGAGCTTTCAGAGGCCAAATAATGAAGAATTCAATTAAGTGATCTTGAAATCTGCCTTTTGGCCATTCCAAAATTTTGATTTGAGCTTTGCAGAAATTTCTGGGGTTATATATTTTTTCAAATGTTTCCATATACATTTGTTCTTCACATGAACTTGTGAAGGACATATTTTATTTATCTTCACTTTATAAGTGGAAGAAATCTGACAGGCAAATTAAAGGACTTGGCCAGGACCTTGGGCACCCTGGCATGCATTCCAGGGGAACAGCCTTCCACTCTGTCAAGGGAGCACCACCGTTCTAGGAGAAACGTAACCTTGGCCCAACCAACCACTCATAGTTATGCCACCAAGTTGGTTAAAATGATGTATATGCAGGAGATCGTTTTGGAAACAAAGAGTGTTTTTGGTAACTGAGCTCAGCTCATTAGAGAAACATAAGTTTCAGGTGACCTTATGGCAACCTGCTTGTACCTACAGAGGCCTGCACTGATATATACAATATGCCAAAACACTTTCAGACGTCAACTGGATGATCTGTTGGTAGAATAAACATAAAATATTACATATTTCTCAGTATAGATTTTTCTACGTTCCAAAGTTTAAAATATTAAAAAATTGAGGGCGGCGCCTATGGCTCAAAGGAATAGGGTAGCGACCCCATATGCTGGAAGTGGTGAGTTCAAATCCAGCCCCAGCCAAAAATTAATAAATAAAGAGTTTTAAAAATTGGTATTTCAGATTTCTCTACAGATAGGCAATATCGTGCCACATTTTTCTCTCTCCTTTTACTTTGAAAAAGAAATTCACTAAGGCATCACACCAGGAAACCTCTCTAGTAAACCATTAAAAATTAGCTCCATCTTAATGAAAAGGATATTTTTCCCAATTTCAATAAAAAGCATTCATCTATTAGGCTGAAGATCAGATTGTTTAATGTTCTTTTCTAGCATATTAAGAATCAGCCACTTAACTGTACCCATCTCTCCACTGAGACATAAAAATTGTTCTTAATTATGTAATTTTGCTTTTTGCCATTCCCTCTGACGCTAACACATTTCCTCGTTTTTGTTGTTGTTGTTTTTGTGTTGCTATTATAGGCCCTGAGGAACTTTTTCTATTCCTGTGCTGGCTGGTGTGTGGTAACATTCATCTTGGGAGTCTGTGACCGTCACAATGATAATATCATGCTGACAAAGTCAGGCCATATGTTTCATATCGACTTTGGAAAATTTTTAGGTCATGCCCAAACATTTGGAGGGATAAAAAGGTCAGTGCACAAACGTTTATTACAGTAATTAAGCAGTGTTCCAAGCAATATACAATGACTTGCTCCCATCTCTCAAACCACCCTAGGTAATATAAATGTGATTATACGTCTAACAGAATTGAAAGGAAGATTCTTTAGATAGATTTTTAATGGAACAAAATTGTGTCCTCAAATTGTTAGTACACTGAATTGGCCTCCCCCCATGGTATACTAATCTTATTTTAGTCTGAACTGTTTGAAATAATATTAGTGTTTTCTTATGAGCCTTGAATAGACAATGAGGCATGAGTTGATGGTCTCAATGCATCTGGTATATTGCTCAAAGCACATCACCACGCTGCTCTTCATATCATAAAACTAGCACACTGCCCACACTGAATTACCCTTCAAGCATTCCACACACACCTGCCATTCAAGAAAACAACAGGAAACAAAGAAGATACAAACCCTGACCTCTTTCTAGTATAGATGATAGGGAAACAAGTTAATCCAAAAAATATTGTGAGGAAATGAGAAATTCTTTTAGGAAACTAAAGCAGAGAAATAGGATAGAAAGTGACTGGAGGAGAGATACTATTTTACAAATAGGCCATCTTACAATGGCCTCTTGGAAGAGAAGATGGAGAGCTGGGTAATGAATGGCCACCTCATGGAGAACCATGGAAGAGTATCCCAGGAAGAGTGACTAACAGATGTGACAATGTGACCCAGGAC